GCTGTGACAGCCATTAGCGCATTTCTATACTCTATTCAATGTAGGTGGTTGCACGGGGGTACGGACCGGAGACTAAACTACACTTGGCCGCAACTTCAATTGCACTCTGACAGGCACGCTGACGTCCCTTATTTTGTAGCTATCCAATAACCAAGATGTCATTGATTACACTTAGATCCTTCTATATCATCGTTACCCGCTTAATCTTCCGGGAAGAAGATGGCCGGGTTCATCTCGTGGGCCTCAAAGCACTGCCTCTTAGTCCAGATATAGGGCGAACCAGAAACTTGGCGTCTTTCTGAGTTTTCAGAAAATAATTCGCAGTAGGCCTGAGTGCCGCATGTTTCCTCGGTCTCGTCTCCACCTTCGCCGCAGGGCTTAACTCTGCTAGGATCCCTCCACGGCAGGTTCTTAGGCTCGGGGACGTGGCCGTCGAAGCACTCCTTAGTGCTCTCCCATCGGGTATCCTCGAGCTGCTCGTTATCCTCGCCGGCTAATGGGGAATGCGCGACAATCGCACATACATGGGCAAAATTGTACGTACAACGTGTTGTACAACGCGTTGTGTAGTATGGACCTAACTGTCAGCTATCCCGACTTCAAGATGGGGCAAGTCGTTGCTTTTTACAATGCCGCGACGCGGCATTGTATCATCAAAGACTCCTGGTCTTAAGTTTGTATCAGACATGGTTATCTGTTACAGCTTCGCCGAAGCTTCGCCGGAGCGGCGAAGCTGCTCACAAGATAAATAGCTGCGTTCATTCCTTCCTTTCATTTGTTCTTCAGATAATTCTCATTCAATTCATCGAAGGCACCTTTGCCAATTCTTCCTGCCTCCAGTCCAACCGCTACCACTTCATTCTCCCTTCGCGTGATATGTGCCCGTAACTGTCTGACAGTTATGAGCCCGTATGACTCTTGATCACTGAGCAAAACTACCCTGATCGTCGCGCACAATCACTTGCCGACGACCATTCGTCACACATCACGTACCGGAACCTGCATCAACATGGCCAAGTCTGAAGTTCTCCTCTCACGCTCATCTGAGTGGTCTTCTTGGTACGAGAAGTTCGTTTCGCGGGCTCAGACGGCCAAGATCTTCAAGTATATCGACATTGATCAGGATGGTCCAATCCTGGAGGAGCCAACAGAGCCTATCACTGAGGATGAACTCCTTGAGCAGTTCAATGAGGCCGCTCTTGGTAGATGGGAACGCGAAAGACAGCAGTATGCTGAGGAAGCTGGTCCAAGACCAGAACCGGCTACTGAGTTACCCCAAGGACAGGTAAACAGACATGCGCGGAAGTGGAACGAATACAAGGCCAAAATGGCAGCCTTTGCCACCTATCAGCGAGCCTACGCAGATCTGGCTGTTTGGATCCAGTCAACCGTTGATGAACATCAGCTCGCCAATACGACTTCTAAGTCTGATATCCGAACGAGTGTCCGCGACCTGAAGTCAAGCCTAGCCCCTACCCTCTCAGAAGAAAAGGAGCTTGTGCGCTTGAAATACCGTCAGGTCCTGACTCAGACTAAGAGGGTTAAACCGGAAGATTGGCTTCTTGCTTGGAACAAGGCCAAGCTTGACGGAGACAAGTACAAAATACCCGAGCTTGAAGGCGAATCCGGTATCAATGACTTCCTTACTGCTTGTTCTGCTTTTGATGCAACATGGGCAAACCAGCAATGGGGCCAGATCGAACACAGCCAGAGGTATAACATCAAGATGGATGAGGTCACGCTGCGCTCGCTGAGCGAATTATTCAGCCGACAGATACGGAGAAATCGGTCGAATAAGTTAAATGACAGCGTGTTTGCTATGTCTGATACAGCAGTTGTTCGCTATGTCTGATACAGCAGTCCAGAATAGCCACTGTCCGTGCGGACTACCCTCGTCAAGGCATCGTTGGAAGGCAGTTGATTGCGCTGCAGTACGGATTGTAGTCAATAGTGAATCTAAGGATGGAAGGCAAGTCAATCCTCGCCGGATCAAGGCATGC